GTTGTCTACTCACACATCCGGCACACAGAGCACTTTAGGGTTTTGTTTCAGTCCACCTAACAAATGTAAGTACAATATTCGCTCTCTTTTTAGCGGATTGGTAACCTTGGCCTGTATGGGCTTGTTATCAGAAAAAAAAACCTTTTTTTAATTGAAGAGCTGTGTGTTTATTTTAGAGCCAAAACTATGAGCTAAAGAGGCAGATTCAGTAGAAAAACCTAAAGCACTTTTTAAAGTTTTAAGATGTCTGATTTTGACTTTTAGGCAATGTTTTTGGGCCTGGAGGCCTCTGGTCCACCTGACTCTTTGAACCATTGAAGAAAATATTGGACCTGTTATTGTTCGTCACCATGTAAACTTCATATCTCAAAACTGATTCCATTCATCTGAAAAACCCTGAAAAACGTTTGATGGTCAGACCTAAGGTGAAGAACTAGGGAAAATGGATCTAGGACTGATGTATCCTCACAACAGAACAGATTGGGGTAAATGATAGCAGCACTGTGTCGCTGAGACTGAGACATTTAAGGATGGAGACACTGACGCAGTAAGACGCGTGAAAGAAGCAGACACAGAATCCAAACCACGTCCAAATACTGCAAAATGTTGTCTGTCATGAACACTTGTCCATTAGCAGCCCTGTGCGTACAACATACAAACAAATGTAAAGTGGGGATCCATCTGATCATCATTTGGTTTATGCACAACGAATATTAAAGAGGGTCCAAGGACATTTTTAAAAGGAACCAAATAAATACAATATTAGAAACACTTCAGTGCAGTTATGGATTGGGCCGTTAAGAGCAGGCTGTGCCTGTTGTTAATTCATTATGTAAGAGCAGTAAGGCAGACTGGTTGGCTTGCCAGCTGATAGGTTAGCCGAGCTTCTCCTGTTTCACTGTGCAGATGCTGACCGCAAGTCTTCGTTAAAGTTTACTTGAGGTGGTGAATATCACATATCACCACTCGACACCAGCTGCTGTGCACTCTGGGATTTCTAGTAGGTAGGCCTAGTAGGTCAAGTCCTATCAGATTTATTCAGAAATGCTTTTATTGAAAATGTTTTACAGAGCATGTGAGGAAATGTTACTTTGTTTGTGTAACACCTTTCAAACACAAGAGCAAGTCTTGTTTTAAGACATAGAAATGCATAGAATGCAAATGCATTAAGATAACAGTTTAAAAGTGAGAATAACAATACCTCCAATCATCTGAAATTATATTTTTGGATGGTTGAAACTTTTCTTAATTTTGTGTTGTGGCTTTAAATGTTTTAAATGACTGTTTGCTGCTGTTGAAAAAAGCTAAAAGAAAACATCTGAAAGTCTAACCTTCCAAATGTTATATTAGATTATTGATTAAATAATAATAATTATTGCCTAGCTTTTGAGTTCTGATTTATTTTCCAGAAAGGCTCCTCACACAGTCTTCAGCAGTGCTGACTGAAGTGAAAAGCTAAGTCAGCTCTGTGTGACTGGCAGCCTTAGACTCTTGTTTGACACCTGCGTCATATATTTGACATGTCCGTGGCACCTGTCAGAAATGATTCCACAGTGACAGGAAGTGTGCGTTCCATTAGATAGAAAACAGTTCATCTACACATAAAGATTCCTCCTGATGTGTAATTAAATCTGTCCATTAATCTCTCTAAATGTTACAGCAATATGTAGAGTATGTAGAGAAAATACACTAGGTGGAAATAAACTGCATGGTTGTTGCCCAAAAACATCATGCCATTAGAATAAAGTGGGCATCTTCAAAGGGGAGACTTATAGGTACCCATAGAATCCATTTTCATTCAGATATCTTAAGGTCAGAGGTCAAGGGACCCCTTTGAAAAAAAATGGCAATGCTAGTTGTTCTATCGCCAAATTTTAGCCTACTTTTAAAGTTTTTTTTTTCTCCTTCCCAACATGCTGCAACAGCATGCATGTTAACTGGTTGTGGTCTCTCCTCTAGCTTTAAAACGGAGCCTCTGAAAGACAGTGTGGTGTGGAAGAGGTGAGGATAATGGGGTCGCAATTGGGGTGGCCAATCAGATTTTAGGGGTGGCCACCCCAGGCCTCCCCTCTGGAACTGCCCATGCAAATAGGAGCATTTTAAACTCAGTGTATAAGGATGTGATTGCAATGTCAACAAATAACAGTGTGGTTCATTCATGTAATTGAATGTATCCTGGCAGGATCATCAAAATAAGAGCAGATAGGATGATTAAATACTCAAATATTCTTATCAAATACTGTCTATCTGTTAAAAGGAAGCAATGGCTCAGTATTATTAGACTGAGCATATACACATCTATAGCTGTATAGTGCATAGGTAAGTTGTAGAATCTACTGGATCACTGATTTCAGCAATCAGTATCTTGAAGCTACATTCAAACTTTGTTAAGGATGCATAATAAGTTGTTGAATAATAATATATAATTTAAAATAGTAGACCAGAATGCTTTATGGTTAGTCAATTTGAAGGACTAATATTCACATCTTCAACCCCACAGGGCCCTTGATCCGAATACCTGCTCATTTACTGTTTCAGCTCTAATGTGAATGTGTTGAAATCAGCCGGACGCAGCCGTACTCCGGATCACTGTTGCGTAAGGTGCTAAATGACACAAGTCTAATCCAAGCTCAGTCCATTCATCCTGGTGGGCAGCTGAGGCCTTCAACCAGAACTAATCAGACGTGTTTTTCTGAAAATAGCAAAAGGGGGAACTGTGTTCAGGTTCTGGCTAACCATCCAGCAGTGGGTCAGCTGCCAGGGGACCAAGTGGCATTTGGGTTCAAATGAGTTTAGCAAGTCCACCAAAATCAATCAGAATGTTCTTTTAATTCTGTTTTTCGGTGGAGGAGAATGCACAGATGTTTCAGCTGTGCATTCTTCAATGTGCAACAGCCACTCTGACTGAGTCTTTTATAAGCCTTCACCAACAAAGAGCGTCAATTAATTCATCACCTGCAGGTTTCTCAAGTGGCTCCCTCTGGTAAGGCAGGTGTCTTCAGAGTTGCATCACTCAAAGTCTCATTGAGCCACAGCCTAATATTAAACAACACGCATTCTATATATTGTGTCCATATAGCCACATACAAGCATTTGCACAAGCATTTCAAATATTTTAATGTGAGCTATTATTCTAGTCATTCTTTACAAATTCAGTTGCTGTACCAATATACACACACTCACACCCATTACATCCATCATTCCCACAGCCTTCTGTGCAAGGATTCATCCATCACTCTATCCACTGTGCCACCTAAGCACAGTAATGGATTAATTCCATTCATAAAACATGTTTACGCTGTTGGACACGTGTTTTATCTTTCAAAACACAACTAAAGAAGTTTAATACTGTAGTTAATTAGTTAGATTGAAACCAAGCTGTTTAGGAAATATTGTATGACTAACATGACTGTTGTGTTTCTGAGGTCTATACATATTGTTGCTATGCAGACAGAGCCGTGGGAAGACATAGCTGAATGGAGCCTGCAAGAACTTGGCGTCAGAAAGAAATGCTAGTGAATTTCTCTGGATAGGATTATTAGCACACTTCTGTTAGCTAACAGCATTGATATTCTTATTTTAAATCCCCCGCAGTCAGTGGTCTCACAGCAGCTGCTGTCACTGAGATAGATGATCGGCCACGCTGCTCTTCCAATGCCTGCGTTGTAATCAAATAGCCTGGATCTTAATCTGGGTCTGTTACAGTCATATCGTAGGAGTCAAAAGAGTTTGGCAATGCACACTGCATGCCGGGCATTTTTAAATGCTGATTTCACCAAAAGCAACCACTTTGATGGAGTGCACGACTGCAGTTCAGGCTATGAGTGCAAAACACAGAGGATGCTCTCCTGTCATTTTTAATTACGCTGCTTTTTCAGCAGGATCTCAGTGGAAAATGTGTCTTTGCGCAATTAGAGTACATCACAGTTTAACACTGTGGCATGTTTTGTTTTATAGAAGTGCCCACTGTGAAAAAGGCCACTCAGTGAGGAGAGAAAGTAGCATTCTGAGTTCAGATCAACCACCATTATCAAAGTAGCTACTGTTATCTACAAGGAAACAAAGGCAACAATGAATTTTGGCATGTATGGCACATATTTTGAGTGCTTCCCTGTGTGATAAGACACACACACACACACACACACACACACACACACACACACACACACACACGCACGCATCAGTGGCTCCTGCCCTCAGGGTATGATGCAGACCAGATTAGTTTTGGATGGCAACATGAATCATGCCTGGATGTGTTTGTGAGTGCAGGGGAACAATAAATAAGCACACAGCCCTACAAACACATGAAGCAACAGAGAAAGTGTGTGACTGCAAAAAACATATTAAACACAAAATAACCTCATGAATAATTGTTATTAGCTTTCTTATTTTATTTGATGTCACATATAAGACAATACTAAGAATCTACAGCCATGTTAGCAGGCATGCTTTGAGCTAAATGCTAACACGTCACAATAATAATGCTAACATGCTGATGTTTAGAAGGTAGGCTATGTCACTATCAAATGCGAACATTAGTGCTAACTAGCACTGAACACAAAGCTGAGGCTGATGGGAAGGTTCGGTAGGTTGGTTATAGATCAAAGTAAGTTGTTCGTTTTCAGAGCATCTTTGTTATCTGTGTTATGGCAATCCATCAAAATGTGTTGAAATATTACGGCTCGGACCAAAATGTTGGATCAGCTTACTGGCATCCCCGGAGCCCTGCTGCTAGTGTGGCAAAACACATTTTTAGAGAAAGTATGTTTCGAAATCTTCAAGGCGAGGAAATTGTTGAGTCACTGGCAGTGATGGTCCATCCTGTCAATCCTGAGACCTAACAAGGCCATTTGCTGATGAGCCAGTAACATTTGTACATTACTGCCCTCTAAAACAAAATCAATGGATGCTGCTGGACTTCCACTGAAGGAGAGAGGACTGCACGAGTGTTTCTCTGATCGTTGCTGCCAAAGTGACACATTTGCTTTCTGTTTTCACAGAGTTGAACATGGAGTACAATCCATCGGACCATCCGCGGGCCAGCACCATATTCCTCAGCAAATCCCAGAACGACGGTGAGTAGCTCTGTTTCATAGGATTTGACTAATTTATCGGTTTTAAAATGGTCATTTTAATGCAAACCAGATTTAAACTCACCAGTTTCACCAAGCTAGTCTGAGTAAAACACATTTGCCCTAGTTTGACGTGTTTGTACCACACAGAACACACTTAACATAATCATTAAATACATTCAAGATAATGAGGCTCTGGAAAGAAAGTCTGGGATTTTCCGTGGAGAAATACTGTGGCAGCTCTGATCCCTTTGTGGCTAGCCGATGTCTGCTAATTTATGCCATTGCCCAGAGGCATCTGACTGAGAGCTTCAGCATCCTGTGGGGGGGCTCGGCCGTACAGTGACAGAGGAAATGTTAACATGTGTCTTAGAGCCGTAAACACCACAGCATGAGCTCATTGTTTTTCTTAGAGGCCTGGGGAACAAACAGCAAGACAATACAAGCTTTGTGATGCTGATGAAAACAGCATCTGATGAATGCTTTTTCCTGTTAAATATAATCCTTAGCATCGTACAGATATCAGATGCTGTACTGCATCATATTGGGCTTCATCCAGAGAATTTGCATGTGCTGCAAACAAACAGAAAAAGGATAAACAGAGGAGCATGGAGTGATTTTCATTTACAATATTTAGTCTTATCTTGGGGAAAAAAAGTCACATGTTGGTGAGCCCGCCTCCCTCCCTCCCTCTTCCTCCCTCTTCCTCATGGCTTTAAAGGGTAAAGCTTTTCTAGCCTTTTTATTTTTTTAATCAACAAATCCCCTGAAGAGACCAATGTACCAGTGAATTAATCCTACTAGCAAATATTGTCTGTGGAGTCACAGCCTGACATGTCTTTCTGCCATTGAGCTCCATTGTGGTTAAAAAACATGCAAATGTTGAGGCAGGCAAACAAGATGAAAAAGGGCTAGGCTGAGGCAGACTAAAGAAAACTCCTAAAACAGAATCAGGACAGGAAATCTACAGGCAGATACTAAAGCTGGAAAGCTCCAGAACACGGCACACAGACAGTCTGGCAGGGATCTAGTGGATGTGAACCAGTATATAGGCTGGGAGCTAATGACGTAGTAACAAACAGGTGAGTTTGGTGAGCAGGTGAGGTGACTCTAATCAGAACACTGGCTGGAGGGAGTGGCTGGGTCTGCAATGACAGCAGAGTTCAAAGATGAACAAATGACAAACCAGAATGACTGAATGAAAACCATGACAAAATGTAATTAAATAAAGTTTTAAAGTGGTTTTATTTGGCTTTGGTTTGGGTCTTTTCATGCTATTTATTGACCACCGGCCTTATCCTTTAATCTGCTGGGTTTCCAACCTTTTCGGCTTGTGTCTGCTTGTCACAGGTTGCAAATATCTACGAGCTGTCTGTGAGCGAATTGTTTTATTCCATGTTTATGCTCCAGTGCGTTACAAGGTAAAGGCAAACAAGTGAGAAAAGAAACAATTTTGTGTAACTGCTTCATTTAACAACCAAGCAGGCAGATACAGAAATATAACCTGATTTGAATATATTCTCTGAGCTGTGCTTACATTGCTAATGCTTACTGCATGTTCTCTCCATTAGAATCTGGATTGTGTTTGCATGACATTAGCAAAGGTTGATAACTACTGGTGAAGTACTGTATGTTTGAAAAGATTTCTGCTGAGAACCAGTAACTCTGCTGCAAACAGAATAAGGTTTTTTGGTTCCTCTTTTTTTCAGAGGTGCCCTACAGGAATGGTGAGTAGCCCTGCGTGTGACTTTACCTCCCTCTAGTGGAGTAACAGCACCCTTTCTTCCGTCTGCTGCAGCTCTGGTGTTTCTGCTTTCTAACGTTGTTTAACTGTGACCTCTCAACGCTTACAGACTGCTTTTGTCCTGTGTTACAACTCACATAACGAAGTGTGTTCACTCCTTGCTGTGTTTTGCTTCTTGTGATAACAGCGTGTGTTGCTGGTTGTCATTTTCTATAATTGTGCTGCTGTGAGTGAGAAATTGAAAAGCACCCTTGTCTTTCTTTCCGTAGTGCGGGATAAACGAAAAAGCCTCTTCATCCATAATGTAAGTGTGCAATTGTTTCTGTTTCTGTCCTCAAATCAACACCATGTTATTTCACAATCATGCCACTTCTTATTTAAATAGCCTGTTAAACCTCAGATTCACCTGTATGTCATTGCTTTCAGTTAAAATCAGCTGGCCTTTGTGTTATTGTCAAAGGACTTGAAGCTGGACACAAAGGAAGCTGAAAATGTAAAACATCACATTCTCAGGTCGCATGACGCTGATTCTCATTCCCTCTGTGCATGACACCCATGCTTTATGTGGGTCATACAAAAACATGTTCACTCTAATAACAGTCACTGTGTGTGTGTGTGTGTGTGTGTGTGTGTGTGTGTGTGTGTGTGTGTGTGTGTGTGTCTGTGTGTGTGTGTGTCTGTGTCTGTAGCATGGTACGTTGAGGCGGAAATACAGCTCCTGCTCCACTATTTTCCTAGATGACAACACAGCCAGCCAGCCCAACCTCAAATACACCATCAAATGGTAAAAGACATGATAAAGACTATCCATCACATAGGAAGATGTTTGATTTATTATAGACAGATCTGTTATATTTAACTTGTTTTTTTTTCTCTTTACAGTGTATCACTGGCGATTTACTACCATATAAAAAACAGGTGGGGATTCTCATGTCATTTTTAATACTGTCAGTGAAAAGTCTTCTCTGTAAATCCCAGAGCAAACATACAGGCACTGTATGCATACAACTATTATGAATATAGAGAAAAGCTTCAGTACATGCTATTGAAAATAAAAGGAGCTAAGTTTTAATTAATCAGGTATGTTTTAGAGATAACACAGGGAAATTGCTCTCTTAGGGTTAGGCTTAACCTTAGCCCTAACCCTAACCCTAACCCCTAACCCTCTCTAATACAGTGACCTAATTTAACACATAGAAGCAGCAAATTAAGTCTTATTTCATTGTTAAATTATTAATTATTTAACAAATTAACCTTGTAACTGTTTTTCCTCATGCCAGGGACACAGAAGGAGGGATGCTGCTAGATATATTTGATGAGAAGCTCCATCCTCTCTCAGTAAGACTTCATCGGTTTGCTTTTCACATTTTGAACAACTACCTCTCTGGTTTATTTATCTGTTACATTTGCCTCTATTTAACCTTCTTCACACCCATATATTCCCCTCCTCTCCTCACCTCTTACCTCCAATCCCTTCTTCCCCACCCTCTCCTCCCTTCTTCCAGAAATCCGAGGTTCCGCTGGACTACGACCAGCATGACCCAGAGCAGAAGCAGATCTACCGGTTTGTCAGGACGTTGTTCAGTGCCGCTCAGCTCACTTCTGAGTGTGCCATCGTCACACTGGTAAGATTTTACGACCTCCTCCATCCTCCTGTTATTTTCCATGGACTATAACATGGAACTCTCAAATGTACATCCTGGCTGGCTCGCCATATGAAAAACAAGCTAGTAAACAAAAGAAAAAGCATTGGCAAGTTTCTTCACAAAGCTTTCCCACAAAGGTAAGGCGCAACCTGCCTTGAACTGTGCCCTTACACACACAAACACACACAGTTTCTGTTTAGGCCTGAGGGGAAACTGCACCCTGATGTGTTGAGACAAGCCAGGGATGTGTGTGTAAATTGGTGATGAGGCTGTGCATCTAAAATACTACGTCGTCTTGTCGTATGTGAATGGGTTGCAGAGACTAGTGATGAATGTAGGATGTCATCCAGGAAAGAATTAATGCGAATGAAAATAAATGAGTTGGACAGATTGGATACACCATTTTGAGAACTTATTAGGTCAGGATGTTAAAGGTGTAACTATTGTGTTTTTCATAACCTTAGAAACGCTTCATGCCCAGTTTTCAGTAATGTCTCCTTTATCCGTGTTGTTGTGCAGGTCTACCTGGAGAGGCTCCTGACCTATGCAGAGATCGACATCTGTCCGGGTAACTGGAAGAGAATCGTTCTGGGTGCTATCTTGCTTGCCTCCAAGGTCTGGGACGACCAGGCCGTCTGGAACGTCGATTACTGCCAGATCCTCAAGGATATCACTGTAGAGGACATGTGAGTTTATTACCAGATAAGAAATGGAATTGGTTTCAGACTTAAGATTCATATTAGGATTAGGTCTCAGAACTGGGACAAAAGGGACGATGAAGATGAATCCCTCAAAATTGTTTTCTGGTAGATTTGACCTTAAATGGGAAATTTCATCATCACAGGGACAGAAGACTAAAAACATTGGATTTTGACCAACTACTGGTATTAATCTCTGGACACGTTAAAACAATGTGTGAAGGAAATGAAAATGTTTCTGCCCAGCTATTGTTGACCCTTGAGTGGTCAACAGCACACTGCTTGCACTGGGAAACTGTTAAAAGCATTTAAACCTTCCAGTTACCAGGACAGGTCATGAACACACATCGTCAAATGCTGGATAAACGACTTGGACTTATGTATTGATATTCTGATTTTACATACTGTGTGTGTAAGAAGGGAGATGTTTATTATAGAAAGCCAGCAGTGGTGCAGGAAATCTTGATTTCTTGAATGAACCTCTAGCTTATTCCTCCTCCTTAACAGGAATGAGTTGGAGCGCCAGTTTCTGGAGCTGCTGCAGTTCAACATCAACGTGCCGTCCAGTGTCTACGCCAAGTACTACTTTGACCTGCGATCACTTTCAGAGTCCAACAACCTCAGCTTCCCCCTGGAGCCGCTCAGCAGAGACAAGGCCCAAAAACTAGAGGTGCTTCCATTCAGCTGTCTTTTTTGTCTTTTTGTAGCTTTTTCCTTTCCTTTTCCTTTCCTTTGCATTTTGCCAGTGAAATTTAAAGCCACTATGTGTAGAATCTGAAGATTTCTTACTTTGGCACCCCCGGTGGTAGTATTAAAAAAAGACAATGTATTATAAAGCAATGCATGCTGCTCTTTCCTTCTGCTAATCTTTAAACGTTGTTTTCTAATTAATACAAAGTGGTTACAATCTAAAGCAGAAATTCTGTGTTTGTAGGGTTTTTAGTCTCCGTTTGCAACATTCATCTGAACATTGCAGAAGTGCAACAGTAAACTGCAAAGAAATTCCTCATTTTTTAATAGTTTAGCAGACTAAAGCTTAATCTTATTTTGATGTAATGGAAATGCATACAAACAAAATACATTTTTAGGTGCCTGATGTAGAATTGGTCAAAAACGGGCTACAGAGTTTACTGATCTTCATCAGGATTGTCTCATTTTTGACCAAATCAAGCATGTGCCATCAGAATAACTCTAAAGATGCTATATTTGCATAAAATTCTACAAATAGGGGCCTTACTAATCTAGATTCATCACAAGCATGCAGTTCATGGCTGAAAGTACAATTTTGGTTCCTTCTTAATAATCCGTTCCATGTCCTCTCCTCAGGCTATCTCCAGGCTATGTGACGACAAGTACAAGGACGTACGGAGAGCTGCAAGGAAGCGCTCAGCCAGCATGGACAATCTATGTGGGATCAGATGGGTTCCTGCAATCCTCTCCTAACAACTATTAATCTGCCACGTACTGAACACTGGCATCAGGCTACAGACACTGGCTGGATGAGAAAACTACCCACATATTACAAAGACATGAAGCAGTGATTGGAACCCGAAATCACGCTCTGGTCCTTACACCTTCAAACTGGAGGCAGGAAAGTGAAACCACCATCTGAGGAGATGAGGTGAATGCCAGAGAGGTTTCTAACTTAACCTGGTGCCTTCACAGTGCCTCACCCATTCTGTTCATGAAAGAGAGAAGGGAGTTCCAGGTTGTTACATCAGCTGTTCAGAAAGATCTAGCTTTGGACCAATCGAGAAAGTCCTGGACAAGGCGGCCTTGAAAGCCACCTGGGACATGGCATTTTGAACCTGTCTTAAGATTCTGGGTTTCTGGTTTTGTCCAGACTAATCTGTGTCTGGCTAATTTGAAAGATTTAATATAACCTGCCTTTGAAATGGCCCTGCAACTTCACAATGAAACATATTATTTATTTTACTTGATTATGTGAACGGTTGCAGCTGCCTGACCCCATAGTACCTGCAAATACACTAGTGTAGCACTGGAATTTCTACCGGTTATTTATTTCCTTTGACAGGTCTTAGAATAATGAAAGTGTTAGCAAGTTTTCTCCTTTGGAAATCTTTATATTCAACGTTTACAGTATTTCTAGCGTACCTCTCAATACTCAGGTAGCCTGTTCATTCTTTTGATTTATTGTGATGCTGAGAGTCGAAACACAAATTATGACAAGTGACAAATTGCAGATGGAAGGAGCCAGAATGATTAAAACATTGTGACAACATTCCCCACAGATGGCACAAATACATTCCTACTTTGGGGGCATAATCACAAGCATGCTCAAACACTGCACAACATGAAATATAGACCAGAGCACGTTTAGATTAAATATTCATCTGATTTTGGTTACATCTTAACTTGACTTTGTCCAATTCAAAATTTTAAAAGCCCCGTAGAAGCTTTGAGTAGAGTAAGCCCACCTCTCTGCTGACATCTAGTGGATATTTGATCATTGCAAAAATCTATTAGTTCATTTACACACAAATTTCCAAAAAATGTATTGTGGTATCTCTTGGAATTTACTTTTCTGCCTCCACTACAATACCCTAACACAAAAACTTCAGTGTGGAGGGTTATTTTGCACCTTACAAATGTATTTAGCACCAAAATATACTGTTACTGTTACTGTAAAACTAAAACTTGCTGCAAACAGCTGGATGTACTGGTCTGACAAGCACACTCTGCAGTGGATGCTGGTCAGTAGAGGGCGTGAGAAGGCCACACAGCACTGCTTGGTTTTTTATTCAGTATTATAGAGCTAGATAACAGTACATTACATCTACAGCACATTTGGAAAATTGTAAATTAAGTATCTCATCAATTAAGTCTCATGCTCAATGGCTGCTAACCCAGTGTCTTTATTTCCTAGCTGACCCCTTCACAGTGCTGTTTGATTGATGTTGATCATTTAACTTAGACTGAAGGAAGACAGTAGATCCATGCCTGTAACGCCTGGGTTAAAGGGTTTTGAACAGCTTTCCCAAATTCCTAAAACCCAATAACTAAATATTCATAGGAGGCTGACACATTGCTAAGGAGAAGGGAACAGAAAGTTAACTTTTCAACAGTAGTCTCGACCAAAGAAAAGTGTACAAAGGTGAGTCTGATCATAATAAAAGACCACAAATCATTCAAGAGATCTTGCAGTGATCTGCTGTGTGACCAGTAACACCAGTGTGTCCTGTTGATCTGCCCTTAAGAAAAAGGACCAGCCATGGTGTATGCCTCTAAATTCAGATTTCTAAAAGAAGTAAGGCATGAAGTGTGCTTTCATTCACCACAAAGGTATACTTTCATTACTTTCAAACCCCAGAATCATTATGCTGAACACACACAAATTGGACAAACATTTAAAAAAACTGGAAATCATTTCAGCACAGAGAACACTTTTCAATCTGTTGTTAATTTCTATCAAGACAAAAGCCGACTGCTGAGCCAAGTCTTTAAAGGTGTTGAAACTGCTGAGGAACTGATTATTTTGTGTTTCCGTTGTACATTTAATTCCAATCTAATTGCTACTGGCAAACAACTGATCAGGTTTTCATGTTTGTTTCTCATTTGTCTAAAGCACTAAAATCTAATTATTTTGCAAAATAACTTTGTACAATGTATAAAGAGTTGAAAAAACTGAGACGGGTTCATTGTGAATTATTTATGGAGGTGTTGATTTGTGTTTTTAATAAAAGAAAATGCTCTTGTCTAATAATTCAGTGTTTTTAACTAGTGATTTACACATTTCTGACAATGACAAGAGGAGTGTTCTGTTTAACAGCACTGGCATTACAATGAAGCTGCCACTGACTTTAAATGTCTACTAAAATAATAATCATTACTTGTCTTGCGATGTGATTATTACCTTCATGTGAAGCTGTAGCTGTCTGTCTTAAGTTTATGATTGTCTATTACAAGCTCGCCTACGTATGATTGTTAGCTTCCAGTAACGTTGACTGGTACCTTGACATGCCAACAATGCTTTGATGATAGCCTGGTAAGAATAGCTCTCTCCACAGGTCCTGGCCTCTGCAGACAAGAGTGTGAAGCAGTAAGAAAATATTAGAGGTGACTGTATTTAGTGGCAAGCTGTGAGGGGCAGCACTGTAGTTCTGGGACAGTGTTGACGGGGACAGGAACTCCTTCCCTCTCTTTGTTTTAAAGAAGCTTTTTGAGTTTTGGGGTTGTTTTCTTATGGGATCAGGGTCAGCGCTCAACAGTGAGGAAGATGGGAGCGATAGATCTACTTTTCACCACTGTCAGTCACAGCGTCTCCTTTATGGGTAATTTTTTCTTTTTTACAACAATGTTAGACATTAAGAAGTGTTGCATATTGTATATTTTCTATATGATGGCAATTACACATTTTAACCTATAGTAAGTGTAGAGAACAAGTGTAAATACATCTGTAAAAATTCTATTCTCAACCAAAGGTATGATTAAGGTAGATGCCTTAAAGAATTAATTAAGAGCAATGTATTTTGAGTAAGTGCTGGTAGGATTTCTGTGCTCATCATGATTTTCCTGCCATACTTGTCCTAGATTCTTTTCTCTCTGTGTCAAAATGTATGTTTTTGCTTTTGGAATTTTGTCATGATATTAAGGGTTTTTATTGTAATACATTTTTGATTTTCATGTATTTGTAAACAATCCTACATTATGTACTTTATTATTTGCTATTCTGCTGTTTCGTCATCATTCATTCATTATGTCATGTTTAATACATTTGATTATTATACAGTATAATGTAATGTAATGTAATGTAATTGGCTGCTACAACAACCCACTGGGATTATTTAAATTTGATTTAATCTAATTATTACCTAATCATCTGTTTTACATTATAGGTAAAACCTGGTGGATGTTGATGCTGGTTTTACGTCTGCTGGTCCTCCTGCTGGCTGGCTTCACCCTCTTCAGTGACGAGCAGGAAAGATTTATCTGCAATACCATCCAGCCAGGCTGCTCTAACCTGTGTTTTGACGCATTTGCTCCTGTATCCGTCTTCCGTCTCTGGCTCTTCCACCTTATTCTGCTCTGCCTTCCCCATGTGCTGTTTGTAACCTACGTCATGCATAAAGTTTTGTCATATTCCCATTCCGGAGGTTTCTACTGCGACAGGAGCCGAGGTGGTTCACCTTTCACCCTTGAGAACTCGAGCTCCTCAAGAGAACAGTCCTTGCATAAAGCTCCACTTCACTACCTCCCACGTGAATGGGTATTGCCGCGCTTCTACTGCGCTTACTTACTGGTTGTAATTCTACGGATCCTTCTAGAAGTGGTTTTCGGTGCTGGACAGTTTTTTTTCTTTGGTTTGTCCGTTCCTAAGAGCTTCCTCTGTTACGAAGCTCCCTGCACATCTGGGGTCGAATGCTACATCTCCAGACCAACTGAGAAGACCTTAATGCTCAACTTCATGCTGGGTGTTGCCTCCTTGTCCATTCTGCTAAGTCTGGTTGACCTGGTGAGCTCCATGAAGGCGATGGTGAGGTGGAGGAGGAAGAGAGAGATGTTAATGGAGGAGATGAATAAAGGAGAGCAGAGCAGTATGTTTACAACAACTACGACTGAAGACAGTGATGTTCTTTTAACCAGAAGAACCAGCCTGAGTGGAGGCTCAAAGAATGGTCTCAAAGATGAAAAGCATGCTGTAGCTGTTGTGCAAAATGGTGAACCTCTTCATGCAAATGTGAATGGTGGAACCATAATTAAAACTGCTCAATCCACTAATGACAAGAGGCCAGAAAGCAAAGATGCTAAGTTGGACACATCTCGGTCACCCACTCCCATGAGCACTCCGGTGCCAACTCACTTTGTCCTCCATAGCCACCTGAGACCTCCACTGTCCCCTCGCCCCGACACAGGACCACCACCAAACCCCAGGGTGCCAACACCTATGGGTGTCAAAAAGCCCAGCCAGTACGCTCCAGTTGGGGCAAACTCAGGCCAACAGTCTGATGGCAGTGACTCTCAAGACAAGAGGGCATGGGTGTGATTGACTGGTTGCCAGTTATTGGTTAGTTATTGGATAAAAACTGCTGTACCTTTAAAGGACTTTAACTATATTTAAGCATGAATTTATAAAAGGAGTTGATGCACTATAAAGGAAGGTTTGCTACAAATTTTAAAGCTGCACTAATGAATATTTTTTATTATTTTGTATAATGAGAAAGGTCTTGCAAATAGTGACAAACCCACAAATTCATTCACTCACTGTTTTGGAATTACAGAGTGAAAGTTAAGTAAGTTTTCTTAAACCAATATTAATAAGTCAATCAGACAAAACAACATTTAGCTAGTAAGCTGGATAGCTTAGCAAGCTAAAGAGATTTTTCTCAGGAGTTGGTGGAGACCAAAACAGACCTGAAAGGAGAGCGAGTATTTGAGGTACTGGTGGCTAGAAAAATGACCTCAATAGTAAAGTTGCATAATGTCTGCTAGATATATAAAGTTGCTATGGTGAATAGCAAACCATTGCCTATGATGAGTGTAAGTCATTACATGTTTTCAGCTTGTTCCACTGCCATCAAGTTCTCAAAAAGTCAATGAATGCATATTTACTTTACTTATCTTAGATTATCACAAAAAACTTTTTAAATTGTGCAAACACCTCAAGGACTCATGAGAGTCCAGTCAAGAGACTGCAAAATGTTCATATCGTAAAATACAGCTCTACACTTTACACGTTCAACAGTTAATAAAAAAACAGCCTTGTTTCAAATCTTCACATTTTTTGTTTCTTTTTCTCACATGACAAAACTGATGTGTAGTTCTTCTTGATGCATGCTTACTGAATGCTATTTTTTCTAATAATAAAAATCAGACTCTGGACTGTACAAAAAAAGTGATCAGTTTTAATTTTACTGAACAAGATATATCTGTTTGTTTAACACTCTAAGCTGTTTCTGTATGAGAAGGAGTCACCCTCAAAAACAGAGGCTGACCTTGACGAAGCAGTTACAGTGCTCAGCTGTTGTCTGGATGACTGAATCTCGGGCAGCCACAACAGACACACTGACCTCTGACCTCTCGCATGACCGCTCAACGACCCAGCCATGACCTGACTTAAGCCAGCCCTGCTCGGATGACATAAGACCTTCAACCCTCTCGCCACCATCATTCAACATTAACTCACAGTGCAAGCAGAGTCCCTACCGTTTCACCTAACTGATACAGCAAGTTATTCATGATCATAATCCCATTTGATTTCACAGTGTATCTAGGATATTTTATGTTCATACAGGGTGTTTTCAGCATCTTTCAGTCATTTTCCCCATGGAAAAGTTGTTTTTCTTTTTTAATCAGTTGTCCTCTTGTGGGAATTCTCTGCAATCACTGTGAGCTGTGTGCTTTTAGTGTTTTCTTTATTTTCAGAAGCGTCGAAAGCATCATTCTGGGACCAAAAAACTCTCGGCTGCAGTAACTGTTGTAAATATAAATTTTAACTTTGCTTAAAACTGACAATCCAACAGGACCACCTTCACACCACCATTACCTCCAGTGTAGCCTTGACCCTAACACATGCCTCCATACCATTCTCATTCTTCTTCTGCTGTGGTATTTGGGGCAGCTTAGAGGTGCAGAAACATTAGCAAGGTGGCCAGTGGTCAGTCGGCTGCTCAGAGAAAGGATTGTACTGTCACTGGTGGAGGTCAAGAGGTCCGATAAGCAAACCCAGTGACCCTTACACATGCGTCACGCAACATCCACACGAAACAGTGTCCCTAAAGTAACAGTATACGTCTGTAGTGGCTGACACTCACAAACACTAAACACACACAACGAAACAATTTTGTTAGCTATGTGTCCTTGGCCAAATCCCAGCCACCATGTCTGTCTTCACACATGGTGTAGTCATGATATCAGCCATGTTGAAAGCACCCTTTGTTGTGCGATCTATAATAAGACCATATGGAACAATTTGCTTGCACCAGAACACAGGTTTATATATAGAACTTTTTATTGTCGTATTGACATTTCACAGGTTTGAAAAAAAGAGATACTACATGGTACGACATAGTTAATTGATTTAATTGACCAGAATTTTGTGGATGACACCCACAAAGAAATCCTTCAAATGTTGGTACATGTAGGACGCTTCTCTGGGTTATCTCTGCCTGCATTCAATCCTAAGGCTAATGTTGTTTTTACTGCCATCTAGTGGTCAGTGATAACTATTGCAGTCATAACTTTGCAGTTTGAGGATATAAACTGTTTTCCTCATACCACATCAAGTATCCTGGTGGAATGGATTGATTCTTTGATAGGTTTTAAAATAAGTTAAAAAATAATCATCGATAATGATAATGTAAAGCTAAAGCACCTTAAATACTTGGCTGAAAATCAAAACATTTCTGGAGACCGGCGACTCTTTCTGTAAAGATATGAAATGATAAGACTTTTAGTGTTGCCTTTACCAACCTAAAAAAGATCATATATAATATTTTATATACATGTTTGAGAATAAACCTTGTTTACCACTCAAATATGAAAGACATTTTCAGAATCCCTTTATGGAAAGTTAATTTTTAAGGCCTATTAAGTTATTTCCAAAGGGATTTTGATTTTTACAACCTTAAAGGCTTACTATGATTTATAAAGTTGTCATGTATCTGAGTTTTCTTCAATAAAAATGTATTTAACTTAGATATCTCATTCAGAGACAAAATGGCTCATACGTGCACTCTGTGTTGTACAGCTGTGTTCAGACATCAATACAGAGCAGAATATTAGGAGTCGGTGCCTTCGCTGCCCATCGATCTCCTCCTCAACTGAAGTTAATGCGTCAACCTGCGTCCGCCTCAGGTGCAATAACACGCTCCGATCTCATGGGTGACAGACAGAGGAGATTGAGAAGTAGGAGGGAAAACTGAACATTGACCACAACAGCACATCAGAGAAGATGTCAGAGGCATCAAAAATATTGATTACCCAGCATCCTCCTCACCTCTAAGATTGTAGTTTAGATGAATGGAGATGGAGGGGGTGGGTTGGGGTTTTTCCCGGATGGCCATGGCTTGGAAGACAAAATCCATTCTGTCTCCCTTTGATGTTGATGATGGAGGGATTGTATGGTGGAAAAAGAGAAAGACTGATCCGAGAGTGCTGGTTTTGTGTAAAGGAAGGCTGAAGGGCTTCAAGGTAGCTGACAAATAATATGCTTCTCTTGATTATACTTCTGCAAATAACAACCACCATAAAAACTGAAACTGAAAAGCTGTTTGGGTTTAAATCTTCCTTGCCTGTACCTCGGAGAAAGCTAAAAGTCTTGCGTGTGCCATTTTAAAAACCAATTAAATTAATTTTACAGCCTTGGTGCATTTATCAACTCTCACAAAGCAGATAAAAACTCATGAGTTCTGTTTCTGCTATTCAATCAAAGGAGTACTTCTGTGACTTATTATGCCATTTTCATAAAGCTGGGGGGTGTTGGAGTGACCCGTTAAAATAAAATGGTCAGAATTGAAACTGAAGAGGTAGAGCTATTCTCACTTTTTAGAATGAAAATACTGGATCCTACACTTCCCATAAGGCAACTCAGCAGCAGTTTTCTTTTAACCTTACCTGTGAAGTGCAGTTCATAAGAATACAGTTCCTAACATAGGCTTTCTGTTAAAAAAATCAAAGCCCAACACACATTTGTGATGAAAGTCAATACAAATAAACTCCTATTTATTAGAATTGCCCTCATTAACACCATGTGTAAAGCCATGCAATGGAAAGATGAACAACTGGACTTATAAATTAGAGTCATGTATTACAGATAAAAGGATAATGTACAACCTGGAGGGACAGCCTGGAGAAGTTTAAAAGATTTATTAACATTTCTGGAGACAGTACTCCTGGTATACTCACAGAAATATTGAATCTAACTATCATGTGTGAGTCCGACATGTTTGTTTAATAGTTATTGTTGTTTCATTTGATCCCCCCTCTGCAACTATCCTGTTTGTTTCTCTACTGTTTTTTTTCCTTTATTTTTTCTTTGAATGGGTACATATTCTTAAGGAATGAATAGTCTGACCTGTAGGGGTGGGTGGGTGGGTGGATGGGAGGGATGCTGGGGTGGGCTGATCAGGCATCTATGTGATTATGTTTTTGTACATTGTGGCTGACCCATAGAAGACATTTAACAAGTGTTTACCGCAATGAATAGTAAGTAAACTGATTTTCATGTCCCTCTTTAAGTCTGGAAACACTGACCAGAGAATCAGATATGTCCCAAACAACAAGTTAAAACTAATAATTACACTTGAGCAAGCATGTAATAGAACTTAAGAGAAGGTATGAGAAGAACTTTCTTGGGCTGCTTTTTTTTTGGCCCTGCAGAAAATGCCAGAAATGACAAACATGACCTTTGACCTCTCACCTCTACACCCCTCACCCTGCATGACATTTTACATATACATGTGAGATGAATGAGCCTTTATCTTAATGGTTTTCATCCATCGCCACCAGCGGGTCAAAACTTCCACATGTCCAACACCGAAGTTCCTGAGAAGACCCCTCAAACTTTAACCAATAGGCCTAATGGCATGCTAACTGTATACATGTACTGTTGTGCTATTGCCTGTAACATTAAAGAGGCTATAATCAATATTTCTATATGAACAATGGATCCCATGACTACGTGTGTGTGACAGGGTTGGCTCGCAGTGACAGACTTTAGCTCTATTAAGCTTTATTGCGTCTTTTAATGCCAATGAATCATTTTGTTTTAGTACTGTTTGTGTTAGTTTTATGGCCTGTAGCTACAGTTGACTCTCGCCACTCTCACATGCTTCGTTATTGGTATACTGTATTTTCCTCAGGAGTTACGGGACGCTAAAAACAGTAAATATTGGACTTAAATACGCCAGGTGGCTAATGAATAATGCACAGCATGTTTGCGAACAAGTTAGCCATATCAGTTCCTGTGTTGTGTGTGTAGCTTGTTTGCGCTGCCCCTAAATGGCCAATAAATCAGTTATTGCGCTGCCTTGGAGAAAACAGCACAGCCCTAACTGTGTACTCTTGATTATTTCATTTTCTTTGGCTTCTTGGTCGTCGTGTGTCCCAGCAGGCAGAGAGCAGCGTGGTCATCTGTCCATCACGAGGCATGTCAGGCCTAGAAGAAATATTTGTTTTAGACGGCATTGTAAATCAGCCATGACATGACAATAGCTGTTATTGAAGGCAAAATGCTTCCCAGCCTGCTCTGTATACATTCTGAACCTATAGGCTCCCACTGCTGTGTGACCTTTAACAGCACATGTAAGCCATTCAGACATCTTAACATGATTTATTCCCGAACCAATCGGAGTCAGACAACTAATTAGATCATTAGACAAAGATGCCATTCATAAACATCCTAACTGGAACCAATGGAGAAGAGTTATCTGAATTTCACCAATAGGATTCTCTGTGATGAGCTCTTCCTGAACCAACAAGTCAGCGCCTTGTTTATATTCGAAGGAGATGGATCCGGCACGACCTCTCAACCCATTTCCTCTGTTGATCTTTTTTGCTTTTGGGCTTGAGGAATCATGCCCAACCCCCTGCCACAACACAAATACACACACACACACACACACACACACACACACACACACACACACACACACACACACACACACACACTCCACTGGAGGAGGAAGCAAACTTGTCACATGGTTAACAAGCACTTGCAGAGCAATTTGTTCTCATTAAAGAGAGCAAACAGGACCTGCTGTCTGGAGACAAATTT